TTGGCTATTTTTTTAAAGTAAAATTTGAGTTTGAAAAAAAAGTAAAAAAAAAAAACTCTTAAAATATGTATCAACTGTAGTTTTTCAAAATTTAACATTTTTTTTATAAAATGTTGAAATATAGTTTATTTCCTTTTGGAAAATACAATAAAACTACAGTGATAATGTAAGAGTCTTTTTAATACTTTTTTCCTTACATTTTACTTCAAAAAATAGCCAGAAATGGTTTTCTGGTACAAAAATTACAACAGTTTTTTAAGAGTATTAGACGAATGTTTTAAAAGGTCATTGCTACCAGGATCACTTAATCAACTGCTCAGACCGATGATAAAATTTCTTTACATAGAGACGAGAGTATTTATCCTTTATCCCTCCACACTTTATCCTGAGAACAGTTAGTCTAATATGTTGTGATAGACCTGTCAAATAATAACCACCGGAGGCCGCTTAATTTCATATTAGTTTGTGCAGGAAAGGAATCGATCCAGTGACCAACCATAACTTCCATATAGTTAGTTTACGTCTCAGGCTAATTTTTTCTCCCATGTTTTCAGATTATGGCCCACAGTTCTGTAACTCCAGACGTCCTCATGGACTTAGCAGTAGTCCTCTTCACTGATGAGGGAGATGCACCTGCTGTAGTAGCTACTGCCTGGTTGCGGTTCCAAGACCGGATGTGCTACTGGCCAAGTCACATAAAGTCAGAGTGCAAGCGGGAAAAACTAGTCGTGTCTGCAGCTACCCCGGATCCTGATGCCGGTTGGGAGCTCTGCCCTATTAGGGTCCTCGAGAAAGGCATTCGTAAGTCTAAATAATAGTTAATTTATCTTGTCTTGTCATCTCCTTGTTTGCAGGCATGATTGAATATTTTCATATTTTTGAGGCATATTTAAAGTTACCAGTGAAACGTTTGCATCCACTAGACATTTTAATTAAGTATTTGTGTGAGTTTTTTTTTACTTTTTCGGTACCCTAGGGTAGAGGAAGTATCGTCATCTTTTAAGGGGGGGGGGAGAATTGAAATTTCATCATTTCTAGACGTTTTAAGGTCCCTGAAGTCAAAATAACCATACTTGAAAAAATGTGTGTCTGTCCGTCCGGGGTCCCTCAAATCTGTGTACAGCAATATCTCAGAATCTATCTGTTCGATTTCATTCAAAATTTGCAGAGAACACCATATCTATGGTCTCCTTATGCACGTCAAACGATTTTGGGGTACGTTAAAATTGGGGGGGGGGGGTTAGGGGCCAAGGTCCATTCTTAGCAAAATCACACGGAAAGCTCATTTTGAAGGACTAAAGTTTGAAAAATGCCTTTAATTCCTTGAAAGTGGGCATCAAGAACACCACTTGGGTCATTAATTTAAGTTCCTACGAGATCTTTGGGCTAAAATCCAAATTAAAGGTTTACACGTCATATAGCGAGGGCACTTTGATCACATGAAGAGCTCACCGGTAAGGGCTTTTCAACATAATCTGGCAACTGCGTATGCAAGTGATCGACTTTATTTGATTACAAAATTTATTACTTTGATTAAATTATAAAGAGAAATCCTTGTTCAACCAATGTTCAGACCAAAGACAAACAGTACGAGCATCTCCTGTTTTATACATCATGTAAAGAGGAAAATATCAACTTTATGGTGTTGGACAGAAGCCCAAAGTATGAATTTTTAAATTTAGGACAGTAACATCAACCCCCCCCCCCCTCTTTTTCTATTAAAGAAAACTTTTTACAGATTATCTTACCATTCTCTGGTTTTAAGTTTTTTTATCTTTGTTTTTTCTCTTTTATCTTTTGTCTGCTACTGATGCTTGAAATATTTTAATCTCTCAAATATGTTCCTCAATTTACAGATGATCTGTTGACTGCGAGAAACAAAGCCAAATTGGCTGAACTGACCTCAGATATTGATTTGAACCAATCCAAAAGACCAAAGAAACCTGTTCAGAAGTACGGTTATGAAGACACCTCTGATGATGAAGAAAACCTGCCACGCACTTCAGATAGAAAAAGGCCACGAAAAGGAGTAAGTGAAAAGCTCAAGCAGGCTTCTGACAATTCTGCGCATCAGAAACCTCCTACTATTTATGCATCATTTACGCATGATAGTGTTAGTAAATCTTGTAGTGCCTCAACTTCTATTCCTGCTAGTAATTCAATGCAAACCCCTAATGCAACTGCTTCTTGTGAGAATTTTAGTCCAAACACACCCTCTGGTGCCTTAAATGCTTCAAACAACTCTGGAGTACAATCTGAGTCCGCTCATGCTGTATTTAAGTCTATCCCTGCACTGCCTGAATCTTCACTACTTACTGGTAACTCTCTTTTTTATGCTTCTGATCCTCCTAGTTTTTAATTTTCTTCTCTCTTCAAAACACTGGTACATATCATTCCAAATGATCCTTAAAATTCAATCTTCATCAAAGTCATGATATCATTAAGACAGCATTCAGAGAATGGTAATGATACATTTTTAATTTGAATGAATTACGTTATTTCAATTATATCTTTCAAATAGGGTACACTTAAAGTCTTAAGTAACCAACTTGTGTCCGGCATGAATTATCACAGATATTGGAAGAGGAGCTTCATGTTAAGGTTGGAAGAAACCAAGAACATAAATCCTTTTTATTGATTCGTCTTTGTGCTCCTCAGGTTGAAAAACAAATTTCTGCTAATCCAGTGGGGTTTTTATAGCATATATTTTGTGAACACTTTGATAATGATAATTAATTCCCTCCTCCCTTCCAAGTTATCGTGTGTCGCTTTTTCATTTTACTACCACTTTATACCTCCCCCCTTTCAAGTGTTCGTCTGTCACTTTTTCATTTTACTACCACCATTAAGCTCATCAAGATGATTTCTGTGAATGGACTACAGTATTTTGTTTCATCTGAATAGGTCACACCATAATTTGTGTAGTTAACAACTGAAAGCCCTCTGGAAAAAAGATGCCTTATTAGCTAGGTAGTGCTGATTATCTGAACAGCCACTAATCACTAACTTGGAAAAACAGCAGTGTATCTGAAACGTTTGCTACCGTAACCTGCGCAGGATCTCCTTCCTCTACATTTGTATTTTTTATCCGCTTTGCTGTACCACTCTTGCTTTGCTACTTTATTATACTTCAATTTTGTCTCTTTTATAACTCATAAATATTAGTCATTTTATTATTATAAATGAATCCAAAACTTCTAGGCTACTGAGTTGCAAGTATAGGTATCTTAAAAATTGTCACTTTAACAAATAAGATTTTTAGTTTCAATTTCTCACTAATGATATTTTATTCTATCTTCCCGTGTCTAGAGCGAGACATTTATAGAAAACTGCACTATATGCAAACTGCTGTGGACAATAATGGACGACTTCTGGAATTAATTTTGAAGAAGTTGGAAAACTTAGAAACTGGAGTTGGTACTACTAAAGGAACTACTGCACCAGAAAACAACGTAGAAGAACTTATTCCGTGTAAAACCAAAGGAGACCTAATGAAACTGGAGGAAAAAGTACTGAAGTCGACTGACGCATTGAATAAGCTTGTAAGTGTAGGCTCCTATTTTGATCTGAGACACTGATGAAGATATTTTTCTGTATTTACTGTACCAGAAGTCATTGAAGCCAAAAATAGGGTGAGGCTTTTACAAGATTTTGTAAGCAAAAATGCACTTTCAAATTTTTGGTGGTATTCAGTTAGAAATTTTTTAAGGCATTAATATCTTATGTCATTCATCAAGGTCACACATATTTTCCTTCAAATCCCAAGAATCTCATTTGCCTGTTTTGTGCACCGGCTCCTTCAGTTTTTCTGGCAGGAAATGCATTTTCAAAAAACTAAGTCCCTTTTGTCTGCATCCTCTAACACAGTTCTGCAACTGAACTATTAATCCCTCTCTTCAATTAATTTAGTAAACGCAAATTTCTTATTGTTATTTTTCTCTCCACAGGCAAGAGTTTTCAGACTCACAGGGGGCGCAGATACAAAAAATCTGCTGCATAATTTAATGAAAAAACTTATGACTGATGAGGTGGCCCAACAATATACTTTCAAGGGGGCAACTACTGGAAAAGGCTCCCTCCAAGGTTTAGCAACTTTTAAAGTTTTAAAAGGTAAGTCATCCAAAGCTCTACATAAATCTGTTATTTTAGTTCTTTCAGTTCAGATTCACAATACAAAATTAGGGTAATTTGAAACGACCGTTGGCAATTGCACGACCTTCACCGCTTTTATAAAATGTATCTACTTTACATAAAAATGGGGAATGCTGGAATTTCCAGTTCGGGGGTGGTTTTTTTTTTTTTTTTTTT